AACGAAAACATACAGCAATGCAAAAAATGCCATCGGCGCCTGTTCTGTTTTCATGTCGGGCAGTTATGATGTACAGCTGCGCCTCATCATACCCCAGCACAAAGAGTTTGGTTCCATTCAAAATGTAATGGTCACCATCAAGTTTCGCTGTTAGCTGTATCGCCGTAGGATCGTCGCCTAAACAAGTTCTTTATTGACTTCGCAAGAAAAAAAAACAACAGAAGTTTTCAGAAAACTGTAAAAGTCATGAAGCTTCGCTTATATGAAACATGTCTGTTGCAAGAAGGAAGGCGTCCTATGCCAAATTCTAGTTTCAAAGCAATACAGCAATGGAATAATGCCACCCTGGCCACCACCTAAATGTGCCCTCAAGTATTTTTTGTACCAGCAATCCGCTAGTCTTACACACTCTACGTCATCTTTGCAGAGCTAATCACACAAGTGATACCTTTGTAGAAATGTGCAAGTGAAAAGTTATTAAGTGCGCTGAAGTACAATAATACTTCTAACAATTCTCTTCAAAAGAACGAAAAGACAACGGTGGAAAGCAGGAAAAAAAAACCAGTAATCCATAACTGTCCAGCGCACCAACTGCGCTGCGAAAATGCGTTTTTTGCACAGATCCCCGCAAGTTTTTTGTAGCTAATGCAAGTTTTTATCGCTAACGTTTTTTTTCCGGCAGATGCTTCTGGCTAAAAGGATTGAGATAGGCTACCACGACTGTGAAAAAACATTTCCATAAATTTTCAGCTTTTTTCTGGTCTCCAAGTTAGCAACTTACCCGCAAAAAATTTTCACCGTTCATACGTAGGAACTACGCACACCTGAGGCTGGGTTTGAACTTGTTAAATCATACGTCGACGGAGAACATCCTTAAAATTCCAACTTTCGCGCTTCTCTGGTTCCGAATTAGCAATTTACCCGTAAAATATTTTCACGGATTCGTAACCACGTGGGCAGCAATGTCATTTTAGACAGAGGAGCTCGTACGTGCATGTAAATAAGTTGTCTAAGTTTCAGCTTTATAACTTTTCTGGATCTAAAGATGAAAAATCGGTACGCACATACAAAAACACATACTGATATAAATATATATATATATATATATATATATAGACAACCCTCGACAACATGCGTTTTTACATTGCATAGATGCAAAAAACACAAAAATGCACAGTCGTGTAATGCTCATAGCAAGGAAATCGCCAAATTCGCTCCTGTTTTAAGGGTAAACTAAGAGTAGCAGCTGGTCAACATATAAGTATGAAATAAACTAGTAATCAACAAGAAGCTTGAAAATGGAACTGCGTTATCCAGGAGAGAAATCGAGTAACCTCTCTTTTTCACCTCTAATGCCCCGTCTGTCAGAATCATTTACCTGATATGGGCTCGGTCAGGAAGAATGCCGCGATTGTGTCGAAAGTGGCCAAACTTGGGATATAGCGCTCCTTGAGTTCGTGGTTTCCAAATTTATCTGAAAAGTTACAGACAATTTTCTACAAGGCGCAGTTTTCAGTTGGATGCACTGACTCAGTCCACCTGAGGAGTATTTGCTTTCACGAAAAGCACAACCATCCAGTGAACATAGTAACTCAAAAACACGCTCAATCGGGGGGAAAACAACTATTTGCAGATGTGTTCAACGTTCGAAGAACAAAAAATGACCGATGAGCCAGGCGCACATGTTATGGATGCTCATATAGGCAGCACTGCTGGCGCATCCGGCTGCAAGCTGTTCGTAGATAATCGACGCATGAATCCTGGACAGGTCGCTGCCACCGTAATTTTTTTTGCAATAGATCGCACCGAAACCCAATTCACCGGCTTTTTTGAGTACACTGTGAGAAGGCAGCTTCTCCTAAAATATGAAAAATCATCAAAACTGATTTCAAACGCTATCACTATCTTGAACAACACGGCCTTTAAGAGATTTTACTATCTTTTAAGAGATTTTACAGCCTTCAAGGTTTTTCAAAATGCCCCTTACTTCCCAAAAGCCGAAGCTTGCACACTCCCACCATACACACGCCCCGCCATTTTCGAATTTTTCTTTTCATTACAACAAAAATTTATCAAACATTGAAAGCGCTAGCCCGCATGCATGTTGTTACGTAAGGTTCCTAGCAAATGTTCCATGAATACTTGAAGTTCAGTAATTAGGTCGAAAAATTCAAAATGTTTAAAAATCAGGGACAAACCCCGCTCCCTTCATTCCCAGTGAGAGGTAAAGGCACTCGAAAATAGCCTGAATAATACGGGTCAATAGTAACCCCGCTGTCAAGGCTGGTACTGATTTTCTATTTCAAAAGTTATTTACAAGCAAGCTGATGACGATTTTGACTCCTTGGTACCAATTTACCACAGAATGTACGAATCGCAGAGGAACTGGTTGCATCACCTGGCACAACTCTGTTTTTTTTTAACCAGATATAAGGCATATTTGTCTTGCCTGATGAGCACACACTGCTTTATTCAGTACGCAAACAGTGCTACTTGCCTGCTAAGGCGCCATGCCGACAAGCCGTGTGTGAAGGGAAAATGTAAAACGAACGAACGCTGGGGCTGCTGCTGGTGCTGCTGTTGCTCACCTGTTTATCCCAACCGGTCATTTTCGGAAACAATTCATTTTTCGCAAAATCCCGAGCAATTGCTTGCCAGCGTTTCTGATCATCGTTCAGGCCGATCGATGCTGCAAAACAATGACATATGGTGGACAGATTAGCGCTTTTTATTATGCGTTTTGTGCTGTATAACAGCTGTGTAAGAGCAGTACAAAACGCATATTGTCACGGGGTTGTCTGTGTGTGTGTCCACAGCAACTTGTCCGCAACTTTCAACTCGGGAACCACAAAAGCTAGGGAGCTGAAAATTTAGGGGAACGTTCCCCACCCACGTGTGACCCCGCAAATTTAAATTCAGCTTCCCTGTACCCGCGGGTAACACGTATGGCCTCGTGAAAATTTTTTACGGATAAATTAATATCTCGGGAACCACGGAGTCTAGGAGGCTGAAATTTTCGGGTAATGACTCTCTGCCCACGCTCAACCTTGCCTATCCAAATTCAGTGTTCCCGCGCTCTTGAGTATCATCTGTGCCCTCGTGAAAATTTTTGGGGGGAGTGGGGAGGTAAACTATTAACTCGGAAATCAAGAAATGTTTGAATTTTCAACTGTTTTCCAATGTTTGAACTATTTTTGCATAGACTAAAGTACAACGCGGTGAAAATCATTAATAGGCAATCGTTCGATGGGCTGAATTCCACAGAATGCATGATCGCAGCGGTTAGTCTGGCGCGCGTTGCTTTTTTTGCAATGAACAGAAGCAAGAAACGGTTAACTCACGATCGATGCAGTAGGTCTCGAGATTTCTGCTTGACTGCAAAGATGCGCATCTTGCGATCTGTGGAGT